GTACACTAAGTCCTGCCAACCGACCTTACCTTCAGATCATACTATCTACATTGAACACTAACCATAGTGTTCTGCTGAATCTTGGTCCACTATTCACAAAACCTATTCTTTTTATTCTTTAAGGTTCTAACTTCTTGTAAAGTAATCTGTTCATTAGGACGCATGCATACATATATAATGCTCATAAAGATGTACGCGGAGACCTATTGGAAGCACTCATTAAGAAAGCTAGGGAGATGGAATATGAGGTACGAACATGTCTGGTACCGAGCAATATATTTGCGGTAGCCATAATAATCAAAGTCTCAGAGCTTAACATCAAAATGGAGGGAGGGTGGCACTAGCGGATCAGTAGATATAGTGGTGGTCACTCGAGTGAATCGCTCCATTCTGCAGGAACAGCAATATGCAGTTTGAAGACTCGAGATATTTCTGATTTTTATGAGGGCTTATATCTTTATCTTGAAAAAGATAATAATGAACACCTTGACAGATCATGCTTCTACCTTTAAATATACCATTCGCTCAGCCTATTGTTGAGACGCGACCACGCGGGATCTGCACAGATTTATGGGGCATCTTATAAACTAACTTGCTGTCCATTGTTGGATCTTTAAATACCACTTCACAATGTCTTATCTCATTCATTTTTTAATGACGTCTTTACTTGATCCTCATTATATTCCATCAAACCTAACATTTTATAGCTCTGTATGAATTTGATCCGACTTATTCTATTCCTATTCTCTGTAGGGTACGGTTGTGCACCAAATAGAAAAAAAGACATAAAATAAAAACAACTGGCTTGAAAATAATTGTATTAAAGCCAAAAGTGGACATCATGATATTGTAAAATATATTGGTTTTATTATACATTGCAAATGAACGTTGTCGGCCTAAGGATTAATTACTTTCCCATTCTATTTCCTATATAAATGTATTTATTAATGATATATTGCAATTACTTATTTTATTACACTTTAATTATTCACCTTAGCACTTTTACTTTTCTAAAACAGCTTTCCCTCCCTTGTAAACGTTGTACTTACCTCAATATGCAGATGACCTGACTGGTTCGCTTCCCGTTAAGTCTCAGTCAGACTTCTCCAATTTAAATAGCTTCCTGTCTGACATCAATCAGTGGTCTAAACTGAATAGCCTCATGCTGAATCCCTCAAAATGCCAGACTATTGACTTCTCCTTTAGGCATAAACGATATCTACAAACACTAGTAAGCACTCATGAAGCCTGTAGCATTGAGGGGACTATAATTGAAATAAAGTCTGGTGCAAAATACATCGGATTAGTTTTTTTTGTTATTTCTGTGTTTCTGTTTTGGTTTTTCGTTGGTTTTTATATTTATTTTTTGCGTAATATTCCTTTTAAATGTACGATGAAATTAGATGTAATATTATAGATATGTGCCAAAAATTACACACTGTACCACAAGTACTGTTTCCGAAATAAAACCGAAATTGTTATGTTATGGTTATCGTATGCCTACAACCACGGGTTGAAAACGAAATGAAGTCGATTTTCCCGGCGAACCTGGAGGACAACTGTACAATTCAATAACTATATGGACTGGTTCAGACAATAAGTGTGTTTATATATATATATATCAAATATTTAACTGTTAAAATATAAATTACTTCTAGACAATCTACGATTTGATATTATATCATACTTGATCGTGACTGTAAAAGCGGCATGCATTTTCATGTAAATTTGTACTTTCGTATGAAAATATAAGTTATTACTAGTAACTTGTGGCACTCTGCTACGCACTGGAGTCCAGGAGGAGAGTTTTAAGTTGGTCCTGACACTCTGCCTCCTATCTATGAGGAATCCCCTGAGCCAGTCCAGTAAGCTGGCTTTGATACCAAGACTTCCCAACTTCATGAGTAGTCTTTTGTGCCGAACTTCATCGAAGGCTTTGCTGAAGTCTAAGAAGAAGACGACGTCAACTGGTCTTCTGTTCTCCCTTGATTTGACCCAGCTTTCTCTTGCATTGAGAAGACTTGACGGGTATGACAGGTTTCCTCAAAAGCCGTGCTGTGCTCTGGATAAAAAATTGTTGTTTTCCGGATATGTCATGATAATTTTCTTGATGATTCTTTCCAGTGTCTTGATTAAAGTGCTTTTGAGACCAATAGGTCTGTAGTTTGAAGGGCTTTGTCTTGTCCCTCCTTTATGGATGGGAGTTACTATGGGGTCTTTCCAGTCACGCGGTAACACTCCATTTAGGAGAGACAGTTTGAAGATCGTGGTCAGTGGGTCGGCTATGTGAGCTGATAGCTCCTTAAGAAGCCTTGGATAAAGATTATCGAGACCCATTGACTTCCCTGCATCTAGTTTCGTAAGTCAGCTGAGCACGATGTCTTGGTCGACGTCAACAGAATCTATCCCGTATTCGTCTGATGCAGCCAGGGCTGATCCAATGCGGAGTAACGACTCCTGTGTAAAGACTTGAGAGAAGTAGTCAACTTTTTCTTGATATTCTTCGGTTATGTCATTGTCAATAGTCAGGTTTGCGACAACATTGGATGTCTTATTCTTGAAGTTCATGAATGACAAAATTTTCTGTTTTAGGTGTCGGTTTGTAGCGATTTGATTGGTTTCAGGATTTCATCATGGGCTGATATTAGTTAGAGAAACATTCAAAAACGTGTGAGTACTTGACAGATGTTTCGGCCTTATTTGGGACTCTTCAGGAGTACGCACCCACCGGAATTCGAACCCGGAACCTTCCGATTACAAACCGAGCTCGTATGCGATTAAGCCACTGTGACCTGATCCAATGGTCCTTGAATTCCAACTTCTGCCATTTCACGACATAGCGCGACCCCTAGTCAATGTCATCGGCGAGTATTTGTCCTCACACCCGACCCGCTGAACCCTAGGTTCAGCCATTGCATTTTGAGTCGACATTCCAAAGTGAAGGAGACTAGGTTCTCTATTAGGAGGTCATCTGAACTACAGTCAGGATTGCGGTGTGTAGTAATGAGGTCAATATCTTGATCTATGCATTTAATTCTGCAGCGTAGAAGTTCGGACGATTCATTTTCGTGAGTGAGTGCTTCGATGCTACGCACGGTTAGTCATTTCTTGAGGTAGATGACTACGTCACATCCTTCGTGGCTTAGTCGGTCCAACCTATGCACTTTGAAGTTTGTCAGGTTAACTTCGTTATCAGTGACATCGGGTGTGACCCATGTCTCTGTGATGATAATTACATCCGGAGTCTGTCATATTACCCAGCTCAGCCTGTTTGTTCAACAGGCTGCGGGCATTTGCGTAGCAAACTGTCGACTCAGTTTGGTGCTTCCACGACCTACCCATAGAGGTTTCAGGATCATTAAACTTCGAACTTTGACAACCCAAAAACCCTTAATCTTAGGGTGTTTTCGCTGTTTCAGCGCCATTCGCTTAATTCTAAAGCCGCAGACTGTCTTTTGACGTGGTCTGCTAGGCATAAGTCAGCACAGACATATACGCCTGATCCTTTAAGAGTTTGGGAGTTGCTTAGAACGGCGTCCATTTCTTCCTCGGAGTCTAGTACGACTTTGAGAAGGCGTATCGGCTGATTTATTGTCGAGTCAGGCTTTTGGCCGATTCTATACAGGCTGTGTATGGTTATACCTGATACTCTTGTTGGCAGTAGATTGTCTAAGAGCGGCTTGACCAGGTTAAGGTCATGCTCGAACCCGACCCTGGGATCGGAGGTGGGTGATTCTTCCACTTTGTGGAGAATGAGCGTCCTGTCAGAGAGATCACGTTTGCTTACTGTGGCTTTCTTGTTCTTTGTCGTAAGTGTCATTCCGTTCTTCGAGGAAAGTGAGACCATTATGTTGTCATTATCTCCGTATTTGCGGGAGACTACATTACGCCATTTGTTGGCGCTCAACTCGCTAACCGTGGTCATTTGTGTCTGTCTGCTATCTACCGGTGTGGATAAGGCTTGATCTACGAGTCATGGGTAACTTTAGCTGCGGGATTTTGACTCCTGGTACGCCGCTTCTTCGTGCCAATCTTTCTATTACTGTCACTGGAGGGCTTATTCGGTTTCATAGGGGCTGAATGGTTGTCTGGAATATGGTGTGTTCTCTTATGTGTTGAAGAGCACTCAATTCCTGAAAAAGACGCATCAGGAACGTGTATTGTTTTGTCGATGACGTGACTGACCAGTGGTCGCTCCTCGCCTCAGGACCCTTGCAGTCTGGGAGCTCTAGAGCCCCACTGAGAGTGGCAATGAATTCCGTTATACGAAACTTAGTCGTACTACAGCAGTCATTCCACATCCAGTTCGCCATAGGTCTGCAGAAGCGCTTGAATGCTGCAGGGGTTGGGTTTGTGCATATGCCATTAAACCATCTCTTGCAGTTATCACACTGCATCACATTTTCAACTAGAAATATGCATACAACTCCTCCAAAGTGGTTGATATTGAGAGGCATGCGTTTCGAAGTGAATTCGGTCAAGAAGATCCTAAAATGACATAATTTATATGGCCAATAACAATCAGTGATACAGCATAGAATAACAATATACAGTCAGAAGAAATGTCCATATTGTCTGCTTGGAAAACATTGAATGACGCAAGTACACACAATTTAACGCATTATATAGTATTTTCTATCACTTAAATTTTGTATTTATAATGGCAACAATGTTTACATCTTTTGATTGCTTAATTTCTTTTTCAGGTGATAGCTACTCTCGGGGATTTCATGGAGTTGGGTGCTAAAGAAGATTTCCGCAGTGTCGTTGACTTTGTACTACGTATTAATTCATTAGTAAATCTATTCCTCGTTATTCGTTTGTATATTCTACTTGGTTAGACGGAATATTAGCCCCTCCGTAAGTTGTCAGGTACACAGTGCAAGCAAAAGATTCCCAGACGCCGCATTTACTCCCAACAGTTTGCCCTCAATTCATAACTTAGCACGTGTTACCTATGTTACTGGAACACAATCGCGTTAGAACAGAAGGAACACAGATTCATTGAAAAATTGTTTATTAAACAAAAATTAGATTTCAGATGTACAGGTAGCTCAGATGAGTAGTCCTCCGTTAATCTCAGTAGGTCCCATCTGCGTACACAGCACATATATGTTTCTCCATAGGCCTGAAAAGGTTTGAGAAAAGCACTATTAACTTGGGTAGTACATGTATGATCTGAATAAAAAATTCTATTGATAAGCATTTACAAGTAATCACTTTACAAACAATATATAAGTTGCTGAATACTTTTCACTAAACTTAAGGGACCTCGTAATTTATCGTTGGTTGATATCTAGTAGGTTCATCAAAGCATCATGAAACAATAAAATTATTTAACGACAAGTTATGCAGTAGTTTCCAAAGCTTGTGCAAAGATTTTAATAAAAACAACGACAATGGCTTTATGACAAATAATAAGAGTCTTGACAGCAAGAATAATAATAATAGCAACGTTCATGTTCATAGTGACTATAAGAACAACAATAGGTATTATTATCGCAACAAATTCATCACTAACTTATATAGACAACCACTAATAATACAATCGTTTCAATTAAACGTATCTTCTAATCTTATGAGGCAGATGTCTTAATCTTCATTCCTAGTTACAAGATTCCTGCTAGCCACGAGATGTGGGGACTTACAGCTTGCGTGACCTAATTCAGAATAATGCACCTACCTCCTTCCTTTCGAAAGTGACAAATAATCCGGGGTGATGACCACATTCGAAGGTATCGGATTCCCGCGAATACACAGAAGGGCGAAATTGACAGACAACAGTCATCCGAACTAGATTATCATTTTTTAATGTAGCTTTCAGCATCTTGAGGTTTCTCGGTCTGGCGTCGTTGGTGATGAACGTTGCCGAGGTTCATTCTCCTTTTGGAAACAAAGCATGTTAAGCGTTTTCGCGTGGCTATCTGCGTCTCAGCTCCACTACTTGAACTCATAGAAGCTTGTTGGACAGGATGCCACTTATGTGGCATTACGCCGTTACAACTATTTGGTGGTGCTGTGGTTTTCTCCTCATCAACATTTGACGCTCGTATGCTTCCTCCTAAGATTAGAACTTCTTCACGCACCAACGAGTGGTGCGGATTCGTCTGTAAAACGGAATTAAAAAAATAGGGCATCAAAACAAATGAAAGCAAAATTATGGTAATGCATCTAGGTTACTGAACTTGACGGTAAAATTTGATGTAGAGTAAAACATCTGTTACTTAGTATACGTCAGCGCCAGTGGATGCTTCGGAAATATTACAATCACTATGTTAGTTTCAAGATAATTGACGATTTTTCCGAGATGCATACTTAATTCAGTCTATATTACGGCGTCTCACGCCCTTTGTTGCCAAGAAAGTTGTTTCAGACTTGCTGAGCCGCTTTTTATTCTCCCATCCAATATCCTGCATCTCAATTAATTACGCAGAAGGTAGCCACGTGTTCTTCGTAAACAGGAATCGCTTATTTTTGTGAAAATGTTAATATTAACTTTTTGTTTCCGCATGAATTCATGACATAAACATGCTGTAACACTTGCTTTCTCGTTAACTGACGAAGAGTGACACTTTGAAGCATACTTTGGTTGATTGTTTCGTGATGTGAGCGCTTTGGAAGTCAGTTAGAAACTACATGGATCTGTGCCTTATTTACTACGTTTTATCAGGCGATTTCTCGTTCATTGCATGTCTTGAGTAACGGCGACTAATACGATTTATCACTTATACCGTAGCTACCATAAGCTTACAACAATTCTAAACTTATTCTAACGTTTTCTTCGATAATGACTTTTTATGGTAGATGAAGATTTTATCTACCCACTACCTTCTGAAATAAAGCTGGTCGTGCTAAAAGAGAGACCTGGGTTCGGAATTAGGTCTTTTCCTTCTGAAGTTACGCTAGTTCGTCAATCAAACTGTCAAACTCGACATATATTTTCCCGACCCCAGGAACCTCAACTCCAGGAATTGGACGGGGTGTCTCCAGACTCCGAACAACGCCATATTTACTGCATTCTGCGCGCACATCTTCCACTATATCTTCATACTCATCGTCATCCTCCAGTTCTGACGTTTCGATCATGTTCATTAGACACAACACCTCCGTCGGTGGTCCACCACTACGGATGGTGATATTACCCGAACCAGTTGTGTTCTGAACTGAGCCGTCTTCCAGACCAGGCAGTTGTAGCAAACTCTGAGGTAGGGCATTGGTTGTGTGTTTGGCACCAACACTCGCTCTCTGCACTATTAGCTTCTTGTCACCCAACTGCATGCCATTAAGACGGCACACGCGTGATCTGTAACATTAGCATCCACATACTCACAGAACACATAACCTTTCGACAAACCGGTCGAGCCATCTTTGACAAGGTTGAACCCCTTTAAAGGACCGAAGCTCAACAGCAGCTCTTTCACCTGGTCCTCATTCAGATAGTTAGGAAGACCACCGACAAATATTTTGTGTGGGGAATCTTGGACGACAGTACTGACCACTCCAGGAACAATGACAGAAGATTACTCTGATACACCGGGAAGGGGAGAATAGTCACGGGGTCGACGGAGTTTCAGTGCTTGATTTTGAAACAATACACCATCGAGTGACAATCCTTGAGTTGTCTCGTCGACAGAACGGAACTCAAGGAAGGCGAAGTTCTTCTCCATGTTGATCTGCACGGCAATTATCGGATTCCCCTCTGCCTGAATGAGACCTTGAGCCCTCATCTGCTTATTGAAGAACTCCATCATATTCTCTTCCGTCGCAGTAAACGGTATATTACCAACGTATAAACGACGAGCTTGTCTGCATACAGCACTTCCAGCAAACGGCACGTTCGTTGTGAGTGTTAGTGGAGCATTCGGTGCGTGAACTGGCATCGGCACTTGTCCCGCTGCATAAACATTTACCGGTATCCAATTCGATGCCTGTAGAGCCTTGAATTGAGCAGTTCTTAGAATCTTGCATCTGTAGATTTGGGAAAGGTGTACCTGAGTTTATAAGTGTTGGTTTCCATCATGCAAGTGAATTGCGCTGCATCTTATTAAGAATATCAATAAATGGATGGAAATCCTCAGTGGTGAAATCTCTGTCTAAATATATAAAAACATATTAGGGGACTTGCAGTGCAACTTGTTTGTTTGTATTATTGTTTTAATGCGTCGATGCAATTCGAGGCTGCGGTCAGAATTTATAAAGTTTGGAATCACGTGGGAGTTTCAGTAATTACATTGCAACGCCAATAAAAGATTGTTTTGTCTTTCCATTAAATGCATATATGTCAACGAAGAAGACACCTCGTGCATTATACATTCCACCACCATTAAGAAACAATGTGAACAATGATCTTATCATATCTAATGATGTCCGGAAACCTTCATCTATCTCAGAATCTTCGACGGTAAATCTTTCTGTAAATCAACATACCGATGAAATAGAACAATCCTTTAAGTCACTGCAGCTCTCTGACAATCCCACTGAAGTATATGATGGCTCCAAGAAGAACGTTTTCAAGTCGAAATTATTATCAAAAAATGAGCAGACTCTTGAACACAAAACGGAACCACGATTAAATCTAAGTGATTTTCAGCATATTATTGAATTGTATAATCTTCCAAAGGATGTCGAAAATTACCAATTAGAATCTGAACTCGCAGGATTTCAAGATAGTGGATTTTACCAAAAATGGGTAGATGATGAACACTGCTTGCTTGTATTTTCATCTAGCGATGAAGCACATCGTGCACTGGCTCAAATATCAGGACTTTTTATAAAGGCAAGAAAAATAGATGATGCTTCTTTAGCTAGTAAACAGAAGATTGCACGTTCAGCTGGTGACTGGTCAATGCCGTATAAAAAGCGCCCAGTAACAACCAGTTCAATAGCTCATCGAATTATTTCAAGTCATTTAGGCATTGCACCTAATAAAAAGAATTCAATTGAAGATACGACTAGAGATGAGCAAAATAAAGCTTTATTACGAGAAGCACGTGTTCGTGAACAAGCAATTCGTCAAGCACAAAATTCCATGGGGGAAGGTGATGATTAAAAATCAGCGGATGGTGTAAACATTATTGTTATACAAAAATTGTCTACCTGTCTATCTATCTATGTAATATATAAGCAGATTTTTTCCCATTGGTCGTTGTTTTCATCGGTGATTCTTTTGATCTCTTAATTTTATCCATCCAAGTACATGGTATAATGTTATTGGTTAGTCGGTTAACAAACAGTATGTTCAACTATCATAAATAATTGACACCTATATTTTCAACTTATGCTTTTTTAATTTTTGTATCTATTATAAATAACTACCTTTACCTCGCTAAGTCAGAAAAAATGCTGGTTAAGAGGAAAGGTTAGGCATGAGGCTAGCGACCCCATTGTGTAGAATAAACAGCCTAGAGTTCACGACCCTAAGCTGTTAACAGATGTTGTAAAGTTGTACAGTATGCTTATTTATTAGATTTGACATTTGTCTGTCTGTCTGGATTCAACATAGAACTTGGCACCGAAGTAAGGCAGTTCGAGTTGCCACGTTCCAAATAGCACACAGAGGTAGACAAGAAGATGAGTGAAGAGAATTAATAGAGTTTGATAGGTATAAGAGCGAAACAGAATGGGTAATGGTAGAAAGAAATATGAAAGATTACAGAGATTGAATACATCTTCGCCATTGACAACGATTTTGAGCCATGTCACCTATTGTCTCCAGCCATTGATTCCTAGAGTCCCGAGGTCCCCAACCCGGGAGTCTGCATCTCCCTACCTGACTCAGTTTAACTGTCAAGGATTTCATGGATTGATGCCATGTTTTTGTTCGGCCACCACTGGCTCTTTTCCAACCTGAACCTATATCAGCTAACAATTCCCGTCAAGGGAGGCGGTGGTTAGGCATGCGCAGCACGTGACCTAGCCATCTTAGTCTATGTAACTTTATAACCTCGTCGATTGATTTTCCCTCTTTGCCCAACACTGCGCCTAACGTCAACATTACTTATCTTGTGAAACCACCTAACGTGAGACAGAGATCGCAGACATCTATGATCGAAAGCAGTCAACCTTTTCATGTCTTCAACGCGTATTGGCCATGTTTCAGAGCCATAGAGAAGGACGGAGCGAAGTGATGAGCAGTACACACGTCCCTTGGTTGATAACCGGATGTCACGCCTACGCCAGAGATGGTGTAAGTCAGCGAAAGCAGCTCGAGCTTTTCGGATCCGTGCTGAGATTTCATCGCCAATCAGTCCGTTGGTGCTAATACAGCTTCCGATTTGACATTTAATCCTTTGTAAAAATATAATCCTTGCCTGAGCACACCACGTATGTAGAAGTATTTACTCCGAGTTCCTCAATTGGTACGTACACGTTAGGTTGAGCACTGACTAGTGTAAACTGAGTCAAACAAGTTTAGTAGGCGCTGACGTAATCACTATCTAGATATAGACATCGGAACATACAGACTATTCAACGGATGTGAGCTAACAGTATCGAAACTAAGTGTACTTAATTCATTTTCTTAAGTAAAATAAGATGCGTGGAAGTGTTTATAGAAAAGTTACGAATAACAGGTTATTAAATAACATTCCCTCAATGATTAACGAATCATTGTTTACTGTATCTGGTGCGAAGATGATATCGACGGAGTATTACCACTTGTGTGTCAAGCCTGTCTGACGCATGACACCCTATAATACTAAATGGAACTTTAATCCATTATCGTTTTGTTCTACATCAAATTTTACCGTCAAGTTCAGTAACCTAGATGCATTACCATAATTTTGCTTTCATTTGTTTTGATGCCCTATTTTTTTAATTCCGTTTTACAGACGAATCCGCACCACTCGTTGGTGCGTGAAGAAGTTCTAATCTTAGGAGGAAGCATACGAGCGTCAAATGTTGATGAGGAGAAAACCACAGCACCACCAAATAGTTGTAACGGCGTAATGCCACATAAGTGGCATCCTGTCCAACAAGCTTCTATGAGTTCAAGTAGTGGAGCTGAGACGCAGATAGCCACGCGAAAACGCTTAACATGCTTTGTTTCCAAAAGGAGAATGAACCTCGGCAACGTTCATCACCAACGACGCCAGACCGAGAAACCTCAAGATGCTGAAAGCTACATTAAAAAATGATAATCTAGTTCGGATGACTGTTGTCTGTCAATTTCGCCCTTCTGTGTATTCGCGGGAATCCGATACCTTCGAATGTGGTCATCACCCCGGATTATTTGTCACTTTCGAAAGGAAGGAGGTAGGTGCATTATTCTGAATTAGGTCACGCAAGCTGTAAGTCCCCACATCTCGTGGCTAGCAGGAATCTTGTAACTAGGAATGAAGATTAAGACATCTGCCTCATAAGATTAGAAGATACGTTTAATTGAAACGATTGTATTATTAGTGGTTGTCTATATAAGTTAGTGATGAATTTGTTGCGATAATAATACCTATTGTTGTTCTTATAGTCACTATGAACATGAACGTTGCTATTATTATTATTCTTGCTGTCAAGACTCTTATTATTTGTCATAAAGCCATTGTCGTTGTTTTTATTAAAATCTTTGCACAAGCTTTGGAAACTACTGCATAACTTGTCGTTAAATAATTTTATTGTTTCATGATGCTTTGATGAACCTACTAGATATCAACCAACGATAAATTACGAGGTCCCTTAAGTTTAGTGAAAAGTATTCAGCAACTTATATATTGTTTGTAAAGTGATTACTTGTAAATGCTTATCAATAGAATTTTTTATTCAGATCATACATGTACTACCCAAGTTAATAGTGCTTTTCTCAAACCTTTTCAGGCCTATGGAGAAACATATATGTGCTGTGTACGCAGATGGGACCTACTGAGATTAACGGAGGACTACTCATCTGAGCTACCTGTACATCTGAAATCTAATTTTTGTTTAATAAACAATTTTTCAATGAATCTGTGTTCCTTCTGTTCTAACGCGATTGTGTTCCAGTAACATAGGTAACACGTGCTAAGTTATGAATTGAGGGCAAACTGTTGGGAGTAAATGCGGCGTCTGGGAATCTTTTGCTTGCACTGTGTACCTGACAACTTACGGAGGGGCTAATATTCCGTCTAACCAAGTAGAATATACAAACGAATAACGAGGAATAGATTTACTAATGAATTAATACGTAGTACAAAGTCAACGACACTGCGGAAATCTTCTTTAGCACCCAACTCCATGAAATCCCCGAGAGTAGCTATCACCTGAAAAAGAAATTAAGCAATCAAAAGATGTAAACATTGTTGCCATTATAAATACAAAATTTAAGTGATAGAAAATACTATATAATGCGTTAAATTGTGTGTACTTGCGTCATTCAATGTTTTCCAAGCAGACAATATGGACATTTCTTCTGACTGTATATTGTTATTCTATGCTGTATCACTGATTGTTATTGGCCATATAAATTATGTCATTTTAGGATCTTCTTGACCGAATTCACTTCGAAACGCATGCCTCTCAATATCAACCACTTTGGAGGAGTTGTATGCATATTTCTAGTTGAAAATGTGATGCAGTGTGATAACTGCAAGAGATGGTTTAATGGCATATGCACAAACCCAACCCCTGCAGCATTCAAGCGCTTCTGCAGACCTATGGCGAACTGGCTGTGGAATGACTGCTGTAGTACGACTAAGTTTCGTATAACGGAATTCATTGCCACTCTCAGTGGGGCTCTAGAGCTCCCAGACTGCAAGGGTCCTGAGGCGAGGAGCGACCACTGGTCAGTCACGTCATCGACAAAACAATACACGTTCCTGATGCGTCTTTTTCAGGAATTGAGTGCTCTTCAACACATAAGAGAACACACCATATTCCAGACAACCATTCAGCCCCTATGAAACCGAATAAGCCCTCCAGTGACAGTAATAGAAAGATTGGCACGAAGAAGCGGCGTACCAGGAGTCAAAATCCCGCAGCTAAAGTTACCCATGACTCGTAGATCAAGCCTTATCCACACCGGTAGATAGCAGACAGACACAAATGACCACGGTTAGCGAGTTGAGCGCCAACAAATGGCGTAATGTAGTCTCCCGCAAATACGGAGATAATGACAACATAATGGTCTCACTTTCCTCGAAGAACGGAATGACACTTACGACAAAGAACAAGAAAGCCACAGTAAGCAAACGTGATCTCTCTGACAGGACGCTCATTCTCCACAAAGTGGAAGAATCACCCACCTCCGATCCCAGGGTCGGGTTCGAGCATGACCTTAACCTGGTCAAGCCGCTCTTAGACAATCTACTGCCAACAAGAGTATCAGGTATAACCATACACAGCCTGTATAGAATCGGCCAAAAGCCTGACTCGACAATAAATCAGCCGATACGCCTTCTCAAAGTCGTACTAGACTCCGAGGAAGAAATGGACGCCGTTCTAAGCAACTCCCAAACTCTTAAAGGATCAGGCGTATATGTCTGTGCTGACTTATGCCTAGCAGACCACGTCAAAAGACAGTCTGCGGCTTTAGAATTAAGCGAATGGCGCTGAAACAGCGAAAACACCCTAAGATTAAGGGTTTTTGGGTTGTCAAAGTTCGAAGTTTGATGATCCTGAAACCTCTGTGGGTAGGTCGTGGAAGCACCAAACTGAGTCGACAGTTTGCTACGCAAATGCCCGCAGCCTGTTGAACAAACAGGCTGAGCTGGGTAATATGACAGACTCCGGATGTAATTATCATCACAGAGACATGGGTCACACCCGATGTCACTGATAACGAAGTTAACCTGACAAACTTCAAAGTGCATAGGTTGGACCGACTAAGCCACGAAGGATGTGACGTAGTCATCTACCTCAAGAAATGACTAACCGTGCGTAGCATCGAAGCACTCACTCACGAAAATGAATCGTCCGAACTTCTACGCTGCAGAATTAAATGCATAGATCAAGATATTGACCTCATTACTACACACCGCAATCCTGACTGTAGTTCAGATGACCTCCTAATAGAGAACCTAGTCTCCTTCACTTTGGAATGTCGAAGTCTCGTAGTCGGAGACTTCCACACCACAACAGTTGACTGGACGAGCCTTGCGACTCCATCCTCAGACAACTCCTTTGACCATGAACTGCTGGAATCTAGCATTTCGCCAGCCCTAGTCCAACATGTTATTAAGCTCACGTACTATGACTCACAGCACTCCTCTTCAACCTTGGACCTAGTGTTCTCCCTTAGTGACAATGTGGATCTCATGCAACATCTTCCTCCTTTAGGAAGAAGTGATCACGCTGTGCTCACTTTCAAGTTCACAGAAGCAGTATCATGGGCCGAAACCGCAGCTCCATCAAACGTTTGGAAAGCTGATATGCATGAGATCATTTCAGCAGCCAACTCACTGAACTGGTACATGAACGCAGAGTACCAAGTAGAAGCCGCATGGAACCAGTTTGAACAACTTTACGCCCAAGTAACTGAATCGTTCATCCCTTGGTCTGCCCCAAAGGGTCAGAAACATTTCCCCCCTTGGATAAACCGAGAGATTCGTAAGTTACTCAGACGTAAACCCAATTGTTGGAACCTGGTTGCGACACTTGAGACTCCTGAGACCAGGAAATCATAGGACACCGACAAGAACAAAGCCATTGCTGAGATCCGTCAATGGGGTGATGAAGCACATCTGACTCAAAATGCAATGGCTGAACCTAGGGTTCAGCGGGTCGGGTGTGAGGACAAATACTCGCCGATGACATTGACTAGGGGTCGCGCTATGTCGTGAAATGGCAGAAGTTGGAATTCAAGGACCATTGGATCAGGTCACAGTGGCTTAATCGCATACGAGCTTGGTTTGTAATCGGAAGGTTCCGGGTTCGAATTCCGGTGGGTGCGTACTCCTGAAGAGTCCCAAATAAGGCCGAAACATCTGTCAAGTACTCACACGTGAATTTCTAAATTCAACTATAGGTGTAGTAGGGTGTCCTGACTTATGAACTTTAACAACAACATACATCCTACTGGGGTTATTAGATTTGGGCACTTAATTGAAACACACAGACTCACCTAGAAACGGCTTCATTCGGCGTATAAGGTCCGCTGTGGATTTCTTAACTTTATTCGTAACTGTGTCTATTGATTTATTAATTTCCTCATATGGTCCTGTTTCTATGTGAGTATTCACCTTGACCAAATAGTCTGTTTTTCTATTACTACTGTTGCACTTCCTTTTCTGACTTTGTGATTACTATATCCTTGTTATTCTTAAGGTGTTTTAGGGGTTCTATCTCTGGTTTTGTCAGGTTAGGCTTTCCACGTTTTTGTCGTTTTAATGTAAGTGGACATTGTGCCGATACTTCGTCAGCCGTTGTTTCGTCTATCCCACATAGTGCTATTCCTACTTTAGGGATGACATCCTCAGGTTTCAGCTTGTCAACCGCTACATTTAAATTTAGTCCCTTTTCTAATACATTTATTTCTGTAGGACTTAATATATGTGTTGAGAGGTTGATAACCCTCTTTGTTTTATCGATCGCCGTTGACTTTAGACTGTTGACTTCATCATTCTGAGATGAAGATTTCTCCTCTAATAATTTATTGAACATTTTTATTTTTAATCAATTCTGAAATGGTGTCACCTTTGAATGCAAGACTCATAAACAGCTTTTTCTTTGGTACTGTGACTTGTCTCGGGGTAGATTCTCTCTTGATGTTACGTTCAGTGAACCTTGTGGGATAACCATTATTAAGGAGATTTGATCGAAGGTTGTCTAGTTCCCTATCGATTGTCTCTGGAGAGCAGATTTTACGAATTCTTGAGCATAAGGAGTGAATAAGATTTCTCTTTCTCCCTAAAGGTACCCAACTGTTGAAGTTTGTGTACTGCCCAGTGAATGTTGGCTTTCGGTAAATCGACCTTAGAAGTGTTCCATTCTCTCTTCTATCTAGCTTAACATCAAGAAAGTGAAACGAAGAATCCGACTCTTCTTCGATCGTGAACAGCAAAGATGGGTGAGAACCATTAAATATTCTAAGAAGTTCGGCAGTTGAAGTGTTTTCATCACATACAATGAAGGTATCATCAACATATCTTTTATACAGAAGAGTCGGATTCTTCGTTTCACTTTCTTGATGTTAAGCTACACAGAAGAGAGAATGGAACACTTCTAAGGTCGATTTACCGAAAGCCAACATTCACTGGGCAGTTGGAAAAGATTGGCACATGGTTTGGTTTTCCTGAATCCGGCATTTTTCAGGGCGCAGTAGTGCATGGGAAGCATCTCTCAGTCTCTTCAGTGATACGACTTAATATTTTTCTTGGAGTGGGTAAGAGCATGGTTCCGCGCCAGCTCTTGCAGAGGCCTAACTCACCCTTACCCTGTGGTTTGGCAAAGTGACCTTCCCTGCAAACAGTAGGTACCTTTCCTTCCTTAGAAACCTCCTGCACTAGTGGCGTGAGAATATTTGCTGTGGTCTATGGATCCTTTTCCAGTGCTTCAGGATGAATTCCGCCTGCTCCTGCTGTCTTCATGGCTTTTGGTGACTTTATGGTGTTCAAGACTTCTGCTTTTGTCGGAGGCGTGGTATTCACTAACAGTTCTGTGGTTTCAGGATTTCATCATGAGCTGACATTAGTTAGAGTTCTGTGGTTGTCGGTGGAATTTCTATCTGAGCTGTAGGTAGTGGTCATTTCAGGGGCTCTTACAAGTAACTAACCCATGGTTGCCTTTGCTTCTAGTTTTGGGTGACTCGGTTCGCTTGACTGTCTTGCATTGGTTTCACTTGTTTTGATTTCTATCTGGATAACAACCTGGTTATCTTGTACGATGTTCTGAGGTGTCTCTTACCTGCAGCCTGTTGTAAGTTGAAGTCAGTTTCTCCTCTTTCTGTCCATCTTTGCGCCGGTTCATGTTCTGTTTTACCGTATTTCTCTCCTCTATTAGCTTTCAGGTGTCCGTAGAGAGCTATGCTTGG